TTTCTGAAAAGTGGTATTTTTGACTTTCAGGATTCTGTAAAGGAAAAACCTGTAAAGGAGAAGCAGTCAGAAGGCAAACCGCAGAAGGAGGAGGAAAGCAGGTATGTCCATTGTACAAATGAAACACTGGGCCTTTCATTTTCATTCAAAGCTTAATTAAAGGGAAAAGGAATTATGAAACCCATATTTTTTTTCGCAGTAAGCATTCTCTCTGGCTTTTGTTACAATTTTCTCCCTTCTCATGTAAAAAGTTCAAGTTAGCAGTACATGTACTACCATGATTTTACTTATGTCTCAATAAAATAAATAATTTAATAGAGTGTTGTGAATAATACGTACACACAAAGAATAATTATTCAAAATCAATTTTTGTTTAAATGACAAGTCATTAAGTGGTTTCCAAAGAACATTTTCCCCTTTTGAATAACACTGGAAACAGTTGGTTTTAGTTATATGTCAAAGTACCAGGGTAACTTGATATCGAACATGATTACTTTAACCTATGTTTCATTACAGACAAAAGCCAAGAGAAGAAGAAAAGTCTGCACGGGAAGAAAATAGAGAACACAAGGACAAACCTACAAGGAAGGAAGAGAAAGGTTTCCGTGATAGGGAGGAACGTGTTTCCAGAGATGAGAGTTCTTTCAAGGACATTAAACAATATAAAGATGATGAGCCACAGGGTGATGAGCGACGTGAAAGAATGCAGCCACCTGCAAAGAAAAAACGGGATGAAGCTTTCTTGAATGAGCGAGGAGAAAGATACAGAAACAATACTGGTAGAGGAGGACGCGAGTTCGTGCGTGGAAGAGGAAGAAGTGTTGGAAGTCGTGGTTCAAGAGGAAGTTATCCTGCTAGAGGGGGTAGAGGAGGAAATCCCAGGGATAATAGAAGCTATGATAGAAATGTCCCAAGGTCAGCAGGTGGTCGCAATGACCGTCGCCCATACAGCCAGGGCCGTGATCGCTTTGGTGAAGACAACTATTATGCTGAGGGAGAGGAGTTGGAGGCTCCCCGGCGGCGCAGAATGAAGGATGAGGACAGTGATCATTCTGAACCAAGTGATTTTGGTACTAGTGATTCATCAGGAGAGGTCGACAAGAAAGACAGTAGCACACAGGGTCATAGGGACAAAGACCGAAGTAAGCGGCCTGGGTCCCGGGAGAATCGAGGTGGAGACGTTCGTGCTGGAATCAACCAACACGTGGATGATCAGAAGGTTGATGATGGTGGTCATAGACAGTCTCATGATGATGGTGGTCATAGACAGTCTCATGATGATGGTGTAGAAAGAAGCCAACCAAGACGAGATGATAGACGTGATGATAGACATGTTGATCGACGAGACGACCGAAGAGACGATCGACGAGGTGATGACCGTAGACATGACAATAGGATGAACCAAAGAAATGGAGGAGGCTCCTTTGAACCAAGAGGAGAACCATCCAGGAGAGGTCGTGGTAAGACATGAAACAGGCTTATCAATTTTATTTTGATTTGCTTAAGAATAAACCAGTTGTTTTGTCTAGCTTGCTTGCTATATTAATGTGCCTTTATCTGTATGTCTAGTCATTTGTGTGCTGAGGGAAAAACTTGATTTTGTTTATCACTTTGTATACATTGATTCTAATTATGATTGTTTGTGTATAGGTGGTAACTCCATGCGGGGTCGTGGAGGCCGCGGACCTGGAGGAGGAGGGCCTGGTGGTGGAGGTGGTGGTCCTGGTGGAGGCGGTCGGATGTCGTCTGCACCCCCTGGCAGAGGGGGATTTGGGAAGCCTGGAGACAAAGAGGATTGGGGTGGAGGGGGAGGAGGTCCCTATCGGTATGTGTGCACCTTTAATACCAATTGCAATTGGTTCATAGATATGTTATTTGATACATTGATGTAATCCATGAAGTTCAGCTCATTTTATTAAAGGTTCCTTTTATCCCCTGAAAAAAAAATTGGGGGAATAATCGCAGTCATGCAGGAAGTCTGTCCACCTGTTTGCATTTCATGTGTAGATGTTAACCACACATAGAGTGATTACACATAGCAACTTGACATGTGGGTTGTTCTAGGGAAAAGGAAACATTTCAAAGGCACAACCCTTTCCTTGTAAAAATAATTTCTATATTAACAAAAAATGACAGGATGGATGGGCTCCTTGCAGGACTTTCATTTCTATTAGACACAAATCTTATATTGTACATGTTTTTAACTTTCAATGTTTGACAACAGTGCTGATTTTGATTCTTTTTTTGCCTGCAGGAAAGAAAATAAAAGACCAGGCCGAGAGCCACCACCACCCAGATTTGCAATGAAAAAAGGGCTAAATTTAAACGAGAAGGGGAGGGGCACTGATCGTGGTAGAGGACGCGGAAGAGGAAGAGGAGGAAGTGCCCCTCCTAGCATCAACAATAAGCGGCCACAGCTTATCAAACAAAACTCCTCGGACCAAACTAATGAAGGAAATGAAGAGTGGGAAACTGCTTCAGAAAGTAGTGGAATCTTTGATAAGAATTCAAAAAACGAGTTTAAGGACAGGGAAAGAAAAGACTCCAACCCTGGTAAAAAAAGTTTCTCAAGTCAGCGTCCATTTAATGACCGACAAAATAGAAAGGGAAATCAACAAGATGGTGGTAGCAGGCGACAGAATGGTGGTGTAGATTACAATAGAAATTCTGGGAAGGAAAGATCACCAAATCATCTTTCAAAAAATGGGAGTGGTCCTAGGGCCCCAAACGGGGGTCCTAGGAAACCATATAGCTCAAGTAAGAAGGAAAACATTGCCACAGTGTACAGAGTGGATCAAGTGGTACCGAACAACCAGAATGCTATCAACAATGCCATTAACAATCTCAAGTAAGTTGACTTGTGTTGCTCTCTGGATACTTCAAATAGCAGCAGTGATGATACAACATTATCTGTCAATCCAATGATACATAATGAATATAAAAATGTCCTGAGCTGCAGTAATTGGAATGATGACTGGGACATCTCTTGCTTGTGCATAGTAGACTTTTGCTAGCTGTTTAGTTTAACTTTAAATAGACATGTGGAGTTCCATTCTCAACATATTGCTACATCTTTGCTTGTTATTTTGTATCAATATATTCCAATATAAATAAGGGTAAAAGAGCTATCATATTGAATAACCTCTCATGAAGACTTAATGGTTTTAACTTTTTTATGATAAATATGTGTACAATTTGGATTTTCATTATCCTCACCACTGTTTGATTATCTCGGAAAATTCTTCCTAACCAGGGGGGTTACTAATGCTTCAATATAGCATAATGGTCTGCTGTGAGGAACTAGATTTGATAGCATTGTAAGGATCATCGACACAAACCTATGTCAAGTGGTCATAATCTGCATAACTTTAGCAATATTACTATAGCAAATATTGCAAGAAAAATGTTATTGTATATTTAAAGAGGTGTTATAATGTCTTGCTTTTCAAGGAGTCGTCCGGGAAAGAAATCGGACCTCACAGATGTTTCAAAACCATTGAAATCTGAAGAGAAGAGAACGAGTGCATTGGCAAATATAGACATCAACAATTATGCAAGTAAGTAATACTAAGTGGCATACTAAACTTTATCATCATACGAGATGTCTCTTTCTTAAAATCACTAATATAAAATTCCAACACATGCAATGATGATTACTTTAATCTGTCAATCCCATGATTAATAATGATTTTACTTACTAGTATTCTGAGCATGTTTGAACACATATTCACATAGTATGTGTATATAGTCTGGTTGAGTTGTTTTATTTTTGTACTGAATGCTGCTTTCCTGAGCAAATATATGAAGTTAACAACTGTAACATATTGTGTATTTAAACTTGTTCTATAGCCACCAACTTCCACATAATTGTTGCTAATTGAAATGAACAACCAAAACTTCACATTGCCAAAGATTTACCCCAGGAAATAGGCCTGAGGACTGGAAACCAGAAGCTTGTTAATCTCTCATAACCACACATTAGATTATAATGACGGCAGCAAGTGAACACAGGATAATTGTAAACATTACAGCAAGTTAAAATACCACCATATTTACACATTTAAATATATTGACTCTTTTTAACTTCAACAACTGTGACAGTGTGTGACATTTTTCCAGAAGTAAATCATAATCAGGGTTGTTTTTCTAAATATCCAAACATGCAGTGATGATAATTTTATCTGTCAATCCCATGATAAAT